TTTTTTTATTCAATACATCACTTTTAATTACCATTCGCCTCTCTCTGTGCATCGCCCCCAGACCTCACCCCCACCTCCCTTTCTTACGACTCTTTGGAGGACTTTGTTCGTTCCTTAAATTACCATTGTTCCTTGACTGAGTGGCTCGTGGCTGGAACTTTTTCTGTTACGCCTTTTTCTTTCACCCTAGGGAGCCTACCTAAATAGAACCGGGAGAGACAAAAAAAGAAAGGATAAGGCTTCCTCAACAACTTTCGATTGCGCTTTCTCAACCTTAACCACTGCCATTGTCGTTCAAGAGCACAATCCTCTTGTGGAAGGCTCATGGTTGCGACGTAATTGCTGTTAGGGTTCTTTTTTCCGCGCGCTATACCATCTTGTTTGCAAGGTTCGGGCAACAACAAGCCTTGTCTTTGTCTCAATCCCTTTTACCAGCTCTCGACCTCCTTTCTAGCTGTTCGGCACGAAGTTACGACTGTGGATTGCATCAATTGGTTACTTGTCACAGGAGCCCTGGATCGTTTGGCCATTGCCGCCTACTTGTACCGTTTTAGTTGAGAAGCCGTGATATCGAACGGCTCGTACTTGCACCATGCGGAAAGGCGTCTTGATCTTCCTCGTTGTCAACCTCCTAATTCTATCCTTCCTGGTTCGCAGTGTCTTCACCCTTCTATCATTGCTAGTGGAAGATGCTTCTGCCGATGCAATTCATCGCGCGGAGCTTCCCTCGCCAAATTCCAGTTTGATTGAGCAACGGCCGCAAATCATCCCTAAGATCATCCATCAAACCTACAAGAACGAGACAATTCCTGCAGTGTGGAAGGAGGCGCAACAAAGCTGCATTGACTTGCATCCTGACTACGAGTATATTGTATGTGCAATCTCCCTTTCGATACCGAGCAATGGCGCATGCTAACACGCTCCTCTCCTTAGCTTTGGACGAACGAGAAGGCGCGCGAATTCATCGCACATGAATACCCGTGGTTCCTTGCTACCTTTGATGGTTACAAGTACCCTATCCAGCGAGCAGACTCCATCCGATACTTTGTCCTGGCCCATTATGGCGGCACATACATTGACCTTGATGACGTATGTTCACGACAGAGTTCTTAAGGGACATCAAAAAATGATCGTGCTAACTGAAGCATGTTAGGGCTGCAACCGTCGCTTAGACCCCCTTCTTTCTTACCCTGCTTGGGTACGTCGCACTGCTCCGACCGGCATCTCCAATGATGCGATGGGATCTGTTCCGCAGCACCCGTTCTTCCTTCGAGTGATCGAACTGCTACAGTCGTACGACCGTAGCTGGTTGCTTCCATACATCACGGTGATGTACTCCACCGGACCTCTGTTCCTGTCGGTAATTTGGAAGGAATATATGCAGGAGGCTATGGGCGAATCGTCGCGGGTTCGGATCCTGATGCAGGATGAGTACAACAGGTTTTCGTGGAGCTTTTTCACCCACCACGTCGGCAATAGCTGGCACGGTAAAGACGCACGGTTAATCTTCTGGATGGGACAGCATTGGATGTTCCTCACCGTGTGCGGCTTTATCCTTGTTGGGTCCGTTGGCTTCTGCCTCTGGTGGGTGTATGGTCGACTGATTCTGTTGGGCTCGAAGTACCGTTATCGGTACACCAAGGTTCCAGCATTCATCTCTGTTTCCGGCCTATCCCCTACCCGCAGACCCCGGCGTCCGACCCCTACATTGCTGCGCCGTGTCTCTTTCAAAGAGGACGAAGAAACAGGACCTATCACCGAAACCTCATATGAGCTCTATAGTCGTCGTGATTGAGCATGTCCGTTTTATATCTGCGTTATATTCGCCTTGTTCACATTGAAGTACCTTGAAACGACCTATACTATACACTCAAAGTACCTGTCCAGCGTTACTATGTGGGGTACCACCCCCACTCTACTGTTTTTCTCATTCTCTGCGTTTTGTCCGGAGTGCATGCATGGAGTTTTGGTATGGGGTTTGGCCGGGGCGCTTTGAGCCACTGGTTCCTTTTGCATTTTTTTTCTTCTCTTTTTTCCCTTTTCGGTGGCTTGTACATGAATTGGCCAGATGAGTGAGACTTGCACCCGAGAGGCAATCTACGACGCCGCCTACCTGTGTATTATCTGTCTTGATGTTTCGATTTACAATCTGGAAACCAGGTTTCTACCCCCTTCTTTTCTACCTTGTCTGTTTACCATATATTCTTTTTATCTCTTTCTTACCCTTCTACCCTTTCGTCTTCTCTTACACATAGACTTTTTTTTCTTTTTTGTTCTCCGCGTTCAATTGGGGTAGACGGATATATTCAAGCTATCAAGTTCCTGACGACTGGAGCTAGCTGGGTCTTACTGAGATAAAATAATACTTGATGGGGGTGTGCGAAATGGAAGAATAAGAGAAGATGCTTTATTTTGCATGGCTTCGTTAGCCCACAATGAGATACAATGAAGAACAGTTCCTTAGTCATGATGCTTGGGAGGATAATAGCCGGAGTACATGAGATGGGCCTCCACCTCCTTTTCCACCGCCCGTAAGACTAAGGACTGCCCGTAGTAAGCATATAATACGACGAACGACTCCGGGAAGTTCCCGAGCAGCCCCATTGTTTCTGGCGCTCTCTTTGGTCAATGGGCCTGAGCCAAGACAAAGAAGCTTTCAGACGTGTGTTTCAGCGTGGACGTTGATCTGCCAATCGCCGCCGACTTTGGACCTTTCGGTATGCCTCTGCATTCACGGCCCATGCGATCATCGGCATTTTCCACTTTGGTATCGACATTCCTGCCATCCCACTGGAGGGCGTAAGAATCCTTCGGTATGCTGCCCCTCCACCGTCAGGTATGTTCAAGTATAAAAGACTCCTAGATTCCCGTCGAGCATCATTCTCTCCCATCATCATCATCCTCATCATCTATATAACTTCCTCTTTCGTTTCCTGAGGTTGGAGAACAATTTCCTTTTTGTGCGTGACATCAGTGCAGGCTCACGATATCTAACATCCAATCATTCAATATCTTGAACATCATCTGTCTCTCTTGTATCCAGAGCATCACGCCCCTGCAAAGCCGTCATCATGAAGCCAGTTTCTTTTGCCAATGCACTGTATCTCCTCTTGCCCGTACTGGCCAGTGCAATGCCAGCCCCGATCACAGGACGAGATATCCATTCGAGGGGCACGAGCATCACGGCCCAGCAAATCATAGCCATCGCACCAGGTGCCGCGCAATCCTGCGCAAGTCGCGCTGATAAGAATGCTCCTACCGAGTGCGCCGATGCTGAACAAGCGGCCACCAATATCGCCAAGTCGTTTGAGAAGTACCAGGTCACCAGTCCGGCTGAGCAGGCGGCGGTGATTAGTCTGTTGGCTTTGGAGAGCGTCGAGTTCCTATATAATAGAAATAAAGTTCCTGGTGTAGCAGGACAAGGAAGTAAGTACAACCCCCAGTCAGCCCCCTGTGGGGAGAAGTCACTGACATGGCATCCACGATTAGCCCGGAATATGCAGTCACCCGCCTTCAACTCCAAATATGCAAATTCACTTAACGTCGCTGTGTCCAGCGATGCGGCCCAGACCCTGGACAAGTTGGTTGAGAATCTGGAGTGGGATTTCGGCTCTGGAGCCTGGTTCCTCACCACGCAATGCTCGGCAGATGTGCGCAGTGCGTTGCAGGCCGGCTCAGAGGCGGGCTGGCAGCGCTATATCACCGAGTGTGTGCAGACTCAAGTGACCAATCAGCGGAAGGAATACTGGCAGAAAGCAGTGAAAGCGCTGGGTGTGCAGTCCTCTTGAGTCCAATTGATGGGTGTTTTTGAAAACTGCACTGCTGGACAGTGTCCTCAGAACCATCCCGCACTTCCAATTTCTCATGCTTTCCTTTCGCCCTGGGTTGTTACTTTGGTAGGAGTCATTATTCATGGTCGTCAATTGATTCTATTTTCTTCTTAACGTTTGCACCATCATAACTTCGTCTCTTGAGTATTGAAAAGATAATGGCAGCTTGTAACAGGATTTGCCCTTGGCTTTAGTCATCAGAACTCAGAGCTTCTAGTGTAATTTACAGCACACCCTTGGTACTGACAATATCTCCTGCACCGACTTCACCGGCCACCCTCCTGGTGCAAGCTGTGCGAATAGCCACGGCCAAGGCTTTGAACGCACTCTCCGCGCGATGGTGGTCATTGTCGCCGTAGGTGCAGCACACATGAAGAGTCACACCCGCCTCCTGGGCAAAGCTCTGCAGACCGTGTGTGATCATCTCCGTGCTAAGGTCGCCGATCTTTTCGCGACGGAAACCAAGATTGATCACAGCCCAGGGACGGCTGGAGATATCAATGACAGCCCACGAGAGGGCCTCGTCGAGAGGTGCATCGCCGCGACCGAAGCGGGCAATGGACTGACGGGCGCCCAGGGCCTTGGTGAAGGCCGCTCCGAGAGCAAGGAAAGTGTCTTCCGTGGTGTGGTGGTCATCAACTATCGATTCATGAGTCACCAGACTACTACCATAGCCATGTAATAATTCCGATACATACTGTACAGGTCTCCCTTGCTCGGATCGCCAAACTCATGCCGGAATGCTTCGCCAGAGCGTGCAGCATGTGGTCGAGGAAGCCAATTCCCGTGCTCACAGTGATCTGCTGTGTCGCGGTGAACTGCGTCGCATGGTGGGCATCTTTGAGAGGGACAATTCCGTGCTTCGCGGCTTCGGCCTCCTTGGGGTCTTCGGGGGCGGGGAAATGTTCGCTTGGTTCAAAGGGAGGGAGGGCGCCTCCGTCCAAGGAGAGTGAGATCTGAATCTTAGTCTCGTTGGTGATCCTGGTGAGGGACGCTGTACGCTGAGGGAGGGGCATTGTGAAGGAGTGCTGATCGAGGACGGTGTTTGGGGTGTTGGTTCGATAGTTCGAGTAAGGATCTGAACAATGTGATCTTTTTGTTTCTAATCTTGTGTCTAGACCGAAAGCAAACAATGAATAATCATGGACCTGTGATTCGGCTCTTCTTTTCCTTGCAGTTTAATTACTTTCACCGATCGGGGGGGTTTTTTTTTCTTGGGGCGGAGTAAGTCCGATTGTACAGTATCCGTAATACGGGGCCGTATTCTGCGGTACCCGGAAGAACACTTGGTCCGGGTGGGTTCTCTGCGTCATTCCGCGGAGCATTTGCTCTGCATCATCCGTATCGTCTGATCTCTCAGGAAAACGAAAACTCAACACGATTACCAACTACTACACCAACCTCTGTTGCAGGGAAAACTATTGCCCATAGGTTCTGTGTCAAGTATGCCTCCGCCGTCGAATCACCGAAAAGATGTTGAACCCCCCGAGGAAATCACCTCGGAAGCTGTTCGAGGATTCTTGACAGGAGCGTTTCGAGTACGTGCTACATCTTGATTTACAACTTGATCTCTTTCCTGCAGAGTTTATTCGCTCTCAGAGCTTGGATTTTTACTACGGTGGTGATCCTGCACCAGGGATCTCTTGGACCCAGGCTGTAATGCAATCCACTAACGGACTATCGCCCAGTTTGGCTCCGTATCTATCTTAGCGCATATGATCATGATCCTCCCCCACCCTTTCAAGTTCTCTCCCTCCGCAACACCACCTGCACCGTCACAGCCTCAGGCGCAATCCTCTCCCCGACCCGGTCCGTCCATCCTTTCGAAAGACTACCTCCGATCCAGGCTATTCTATCGCCCTCTGGAAGGTTTCTCAGACTGGCTTTCTCCGGCTTCCCGGATCTATCGGGGCTTGACCCCCCAGTACAAGGTTTTTCTCCAGATTGCCGCTATGACTCTAGGAGGCTGTATCTGGGCTGAGAGGAGGGTGAACGACTATATCGATCTCATCCGGAAAACCAAGCGGGCGGAACGATTGGAGGCCCAGAGAGCGGCAAGATATGCGGAATAATGACGGTGCGCTTCCTTTTAACAGACGGAATGAAAAATGGACCTAGTCCTCTGGGAGTCAGCCTCATTGTCAAGCCTATCCTGAGGACTTCTGGGGTTCTAGCGGATATTGTATGAAGTTGGACTTCTTGTTTCTCCACAAGCTCCGATCGGTCAGAAAGCTACGGGGCACCAGTGTTGCGACTCGACTGTCGATCACCATGAAGGATCGTGATCTGGGACGTTGGTGACACAGTCACACAAATGACGCTCGGCTGCGTGCGTGGATGACATGTTACATGAAGACCCGAGAGACTGTGGCGGAGTCGAGACAAGAGGATCTTCCGAAGTGTAGACTGCCGAATCGAACTCTTGTTCCGATAGTGAGTTTGATTAGCATCCATCTGGATCGCCAAGAGACTATGTAATTGTATGCATTATTGGGCGGAAGTATAGCTTTGACTTTTTCTGTACCCACAGTGAACCGGAGCCAACTTCAATTGACGAAATTAAAGTGGGGGTGCCAGGGAAAGCTCAAGGCAAAGGAAGTGTCAAGGCATAGATAGACAGAGAGGCCGAAATTTAAACGACTGCCGCACTAGGGAAACCACCTTTTCTCCGCTCCGTGGTATGTATGTACCGTACTCCGTACATGGGTATTCGTAGAGCTGCTGCAGCCTCACTTGGCGGACGGGTCGAGAACAATGCAGGCAACTGGGGCGAGTGGAGCCTTAGTCGCGAAGGCTTCAGCACCGGTTCGCTGTGACGCGCTGGGGATCGGCTTCTCGAAGACGTCTCAAGGCGGAGGAGGATCGCTGAAAGGCTCCATATCTGGGGCGCGGTGAAACAGGAGAACGATCCAGAATTGAAATGAATGGGAGAGAATCAAGTAAATAAAAATAGATAGGAAGGGCGAGGTGAGCTCCGGAACATCAGGGCAATGAGTTGAGGTACTAGATACAGGATGTGGCATTTGTTTAGGGTCTGCAATGGATTTGACAATGAGCTGAAATCGAAAAGACCTCTTGCATGGATCTCTATGTAGAGAGAGAATGACAGCTGCACCGTTTCTGGGTTGCTTGCCTTTTTTTTTCTACCCGTTTCGTTGAATATATCATATTGTTGTTTCTATCATGAGCTGACTGTATGAGGATGCGCGATGTGATTGGGCGATTCCCCTTTTGTCCCTCACATTCAACCTCAGGCTGAAAAGTACTTTTTTTATTTTCTTTTTTCTTTTTATGGATCCAATTTCCATCCCTTTTCTTTTCTTTTTTTTTTTTTTTCTTTTACCTTGCTCTGCTGTATCTTTTTCTTTTCCCCCTGACTCCATCATTTCTTTTTTATTTTTTTATTTTTGTTTTCTCTTGGGTGGAAGATCAATCTAATAGTAATCAATAATTTCAATTGACCTTAATTTCACTCTAGTCTTTT